ATATATATATATTTATTTAATCCTTTACAATTTTAATTGGTACTCGAGTGACGAATCTGGTGGCCATGCCAAAATCTGCAACCAATAAATGCAACAATATTTACGTATTTTATTTCATTATTAAGGCATTTTTGTGTTATTTCTACTTCAAATTGTGCCTGTTTGCTGTTTTAAGTTTATCGAAAAGGTTATTGTTTAGTCTCTAGGAATGGATTAATTCGTTTTCCATTATTTCCATCGTAAAAATTGACTCGAGCTTCGAACGATTCCTGGTTCGAACCTGGAATGAATTAAATTTCAAGAACGAGACATCACTGTAATCTTTTGTGTACACTATCTATTACTGTAATATAAGAAAAATGATAAATATGTTCTAAAACATCCAGAACGAAATACAGTAGACCCCACTATAACGCGGGTTCATGTAATGCGGATTCGTATATCGCGGCGAAAAAATTGCGACCGTATTCGTATAAAGACGCTAACAGAGACTCGTAAAACGCGGTAAAACGTCATCGCCGACTCGTGTCGCGACAGGATTAGTCGAATCTGGACCAATAGTGGACGAGCAACCGAACTACTTACAAGCTACGGAGAGTTTAGGCGGGTAAGTTGAGTTTACTATCGTCTGTACAGTATATAGGCCTAAATTAGGTAATGTAAGTCTAATACAGTACTGTAATTTTATACACTTCTTGTGAAAAAAAACATTTCTTATTCAACGGCCATAAAAATTATTTCTATTAATGATGTCTCCAAAGTTGAAAGTTATTTTTCTGCAAAAAATTCGTATCAGAAAACGCGGCCGCCGTTTGTTGCACCGCTCCGCGACGAAAACAAGCTTAAGCAATGGCGTGGTCGAACGGTGCATACTCGGTAAGTAATCCTACAATTTTTTGTTTATAGCATAGTTTATACGGATTATTTCCAAAAAATTATACGTGTTTTGGAATGTTGAGTCAAATTAGTCTAGAATCGATTAATTTTATTGAAGAAAACATTTCAAACAGCCGTAGTCCGTAAACTTCACACGTGTCGGGCTGCGATTGGCTCATGTATTTAAGGATTCCTACACGCGAAATTCTTATAAAGCGGAACGTATCTACCGCGTTATAGGGGGAGGTCGACTGTATATTTTTATGAAAAGAAAGGTCGTCTCAGCTAACGAAGATCATGTGAAAAGAACGACAAAGAAGACTATAAGAATACATTTATTCGTATAAGTCTTTAATATTTTGTATTTTGACAATTTGTTTATAAAAAGACAAATATGTTGTTGTATTCCAACTAATCTAACAGAGAAAAGTGAATAGAAAACGAAGACATGAAAAAAGCAATTCTATTTGTCTTTTATTTTTAACTCTGCCCCGTTGCACTACAAAAGCATTTCAGCAAGCTCATTAAACCCTGACCGTCACTCAGATAGATAATATCAAAAGAAGAATAGGATTAACCCGCGATGTTTTCATTAGAAACGTCAAAGATAGAAAACGTTTTCCCCTGTAAAGGCTGTCTCCATTAGAAGATAGAGCTCGAAGAATAAAGAAAGATTTTATATTTTTTTCAGAAGAAAAGCTAACTTCACAAACTAAAAATTTTTTATATGTTCAAAAGACTATTTTTCAGTATTTTCATAATAATAAAAATGTCTTTTTCTTAATTCAAATGAATCATCTGATTTCATGTTTCCAAATACTTTTGAAAGTAATTGAGAATAATGCTAAGAAATATTATAACAATAAAATTAAATGCAAACTGCCATTTTTTACACAGAAGTTAACCAATTATTTAACAATTAACTAAATGCTTAATTGCTATCTTACCCGATGGTCTTTCATCCAGCTTAACAGGAACAAAGAGTACAGCATGCAATTTCTTGGCTTCTCTATAACCATCCAGTGCAAGAAATCCGCCGAAGAATGTAACTTGATAGATGTAATCTATGAAAATACTTAAAGCCATGAAACTTCCAGTAATGTGGAGAATTCTGAAAGGAGTAGTTAACGCAATTAACGAACAAACAACGTTAGTCAAAGACGTTATGGTAATCGATACGGTAGCCTGGGAGAACGTTACACTCATCCTTTTTTCAACTGAATCTTTAGGATTGGTTTTTCTCCAAGCAGCTAACAAAACAAATGAGTCATCCAGTCCGATACCTGTAGAATACATTTAAGCAATCGAGAGTTTTGATTTATATTAAATAACATATCTATTTTTTTTTTTTTAATGTATTTTATATACTAACCTACAACTATAAACGGAACAATCATATTTGCTTCGGTATATTTCATACCGCAGAGTAGTAAAATACCAAAGGCAGTTACCACAGCAAACGAAGATGAGATACATCCGGAAACACCAATCAGTGGTTTACTCGTCACCCAGTCCTTCGTCAGACAAGTTACACTTGCAAATGTTATCATAAATGCTCCACTAATAATAGTATGCCATACAATATTTACGAATACATTATTAATTTCATTATCGATACTAATTCCACTCATTTTTGATACGCGGATGTGAACGAAGGAATTTTCAGCAAGTGTTTTTAGAAATTCTTCTTCCCATTTAAGAGCAATTTCCTGTTTGTTGGAATTATAGTAATCGACGAAATAGAATAAACGAACTGCTTGAAACTCTGTTATAAAACTGTTTTCGTCAGTCGAAACCCCTCCTAAATTGATAGCATCTATATTAATGTGCGATGAATTTATTTCCATCGGATACCTGTTTAAAAAACAAACTAATTAGGATCTGTTAAAGTAGTTGTATCCTGTTGAAAAATATGTTTTTGTTTTTCTTCATTGTTCTAACTAAATTAAACTAATATTAACAAAATTAATTTACCATTATCTCATTAAAATATTATCATTAACTTGTTCTTAATTATTTTGCATCGTTCAAGTTCCAACTTCTTTTGCATAGTTAAAACAATGCAATGAACTTGGAGAATTTGTTTCGATTTTCTATTCATTAATTTTTTTATTTAGATTGATATATAAGTTAACATAATCCACAAAGAAAACACCGAAATTGTTACAAAAATATTACAAAAATAAATGACTTTAGACGCATCACGTCTAAAGTAATTTATTTATTAAATATCGATTACAATCAGGGGAGCTCTTTAGTATTCATTCACATATATTTGCATAAATAAACAATGAAACTGAAATATTAAAATAGTAATATAACAAAAATACTTACTTAATTTTTAGCTTTTTTCTTCCGAAGTCTTCAAATTTCGTTTTTAAAGACAATATATTGTTTCGATAACACTCTCCTTCCGATCGCATACAGATATCGGAATACGTTATGTTTTGTCCTTGCCATTGTATTTTTATGTCGAGAATCTTTTCGTTTAGCATTTGTAATTCATCAAATACGTATTCACGCATCATTGTTCCTCCATCTTTACACGTCGCTATAATCATATTCGCTCCCTTATATCCTATCACTCGTGAAAGATCAAAATCTGTAGCATTTTCCGGAAAGAACTTTTCAATTTCTGATCTTACTTTCAAAGTTCTTCCGTTTGACGGAACAAATAAATATTCCGTATCTTTAATAACTTGTAATTTAAATAAACCCAAAGCGGCTAGAGCAGTGAATAGAAATGGTATTATTACAAAATACAATGGATGACGTCCAATCAGTCGTCCAAGGTGACGAAAACTTGAAGATAAATATCGATTAACTGCATAAAATTTCTCTTTGTCACACTGCATATTTAATTATGTTGATTGTAAAAGTCACCGTCAATTATTATTATTTATATGTTTCTAGATAGTGTGCACATTAGTAATATTTCAGTTGTAGTTTGTTTAAGACTACGAATTTGATGATTATCCTGTAAAAATTCAAGAATCAATTAGGAAAAGGTAAATTGACTACAATGTATAGAGAAATTATTATTATTATTATTATTATCAAACTCTGTCCCATAACAAAAAGTGAATAGGGGATTAAAGGTCAATAGAAACGATACGTCAATTAGAGTGTAAATGTGAGAATAGTTTTCTAAATTTTATTTACATTCATGTTACAGGTGTAATGGAAAATACAGGGTAAACCCAAATATTTGTAGATTTTTAAAAACTTATATAAAATCAATAAATTGGCGAATTGCAGTAGGGTCTGATTACATGAAGGCAGATCTTTTCGTGCATAAGAAAAGTTTTTAGGTTCAAATTTTCTTCGATGACGGGTGATGTACCATTTGTATCCAGAAAATAACTGAAAATGCTTAAAAATTACGTTCAGGCATACTTTCATATATAAAATCGTTTTAACACAGCCATGCTCAAGCAAGATGGGGCCTCCATCACGTAATATTTTCCGTGAAACACTTCTTAATAAACACATTTGGTCAAGAACTCGACTGATTACCTGTTTCTGCGAAAATACATATCCCCGCGGTCTTAGGACTTGACACCTTTTATTTCTTTATTAATGTAACAATGCACATAACCTAATACCTTCAGCACAATCAGACAATGCATAAAATAAATATACAGAAAATGTATTAATTTTATGTTTTGTAAAGTCAGATATGAATCACATCCTTCCAAAAAATATCTTTAAGCATCTTGAAAGAAATTTGGCTATAATAAATCGGTAAATTAATGATTTTCGCAGCTTCTTTAGCAAACAAAGTCTGCTGTGTCATTCCCAGAAATCCGACTGAACCCATTTAAAATAACATTCGTTGCTTGAGTTGTAAAGTGTGATGGATTCGAGTAACCATTGGTGCAGATTTCTGTCTTGAACAAAAGATAACGCAAATCAGCATACTTTATTAGGTAAAGGTCTACGGACGATAGCCTAAAGATTAATATTTGAGGTAGTGAGGTAGGCTTGTATAATTAACAGAAGTGCCATCTGTTGATTTTTAGCTACGGACTACCTAAAGTTTCGAGTGCACACTAAAAGGACAGCCTCCTTAGCTCATTTATCATTATAATTTTAATCTTAATCAATTTATTGTATTTTATGTGTGTATTTTATGTCTATTTTTTTATTTGTATGGTGTGCAACGAACAATTATTAACTATCAGGAAAGATGCTCTTTGCACCCGCATCTCGAAGATGTGTGTGTGAATTCGACACCGAGATTGTTTACGTTTATCATCGAACGTCGTAAAGGAATTTCGCCTATTTTTCGGATTTTAGGGATCCTTCCTTCTAAATTACTAATAATACCAGTTAAAAATAATTCAGAGAAACGAATTAGAAAAAAATTATCCATTAATTGTTATAAATTTCACAACATGTAAAGGAAAAAACGAAAGGGATGACCTTCGTTTCCCACTTTTTCAATAGTGTTAGATGAGAGATGCTATTCTATCCATGTCACGTGGACGCATATAATTCTTAATAAACAAGAGAAAAGAAGGACTAAAGGATGACCAATCGTGATTATCGTAAATAACCTCAACTCCCTCCAAAACAAAATCATGATTGGTCAAAACGAAGAATAAAATAAAAGAAAATGACGAAAATCAGAGACTTAGTAAGGGACTGAGAGAAGGAGAAAGAAGACAAGAAAGTGAAGAAGAAAGAGAGAGAAAGTGAATGAAAAGGAGAGAGGAAGAGAAAGCAGAAAGAAGAAAGGGAAAAGTAGAAAGTAGAAAATTCCCCCACATTCTTCTGATTGTGTGATAGTAATAACGTCGTCTATCAGTAAAAATTTTAAATATTATTTTTCTTATGCCAACAATATCCGCCTCCAAGACAAGCCATTTGGTCCAAACCCCACAGTAATATGTCAATTTCTTCATCTTATATAACGTTTTAAAAGTCTACGAAGTTTTTGGACACCCTAAAAATACAGTGGAGTGTTTTACGACTGGCAGGGATAGCCTGGTCTTCCAAGAAAGAGAGATATTATTGCCAATATCTAGCTTTACTCATTATAATTAATTAATTAATATTTCGTGCATATTGAAAATTAAATACACTTTTAAATGACGAAATCGTGTCTACATATAGAAAATGACGTAATGAAAGAGGAAAATATTGCATATATTTCACAATTCACAGCCTTATAAAATTTTCTAAATTAACAGCAAAACATTAAATTTCTTTTTAAATTAGAATAAATTTTATTTGAATGTGTATAGTAAGTTTGTTATAAAGAAAACGTGTATTTTGAATATATTCAACATTCATACATTTCTAATCACCTTAAAATCGCAATATTTTCTCAGCTTTAACAATGGAATAAATTTCCATTGTTTTAACAAAAATTAATTTAAAATATGAATTCTATAATCCCCCTATAACACTGTTGATTATTCCGTGTTATATGAATTCCATGTTGTACGAGTCACTTAGATTTTACAAATACGCGTGCCAGGCTGTAAACGGCTCACCTATTTGTAAAATCTATGTGACTCGTACAACATGGAATTCATATAACACGGAATAATCAACAGTGTTATAGGGGGTCTACTGTATTTAGAATAAAAAACTAAAAATTTATGTTTTTTAAATTTAGAATTCTTACTTGCAAAGTATATTTTCAAATGTTCCTTTTTCTCTGTTCGTATTCTCAGATTGGAAAGATTGTTTTCTTGGATCACGCAATACTACACACGGGAGATTTGCCAAGTAGGATACCTTTTCGACAAGACTTTTGCAAAAATAAACTGGTCTTACTCAGTTGTTAGGCACGTGGTAGAAAGCCAACACGTGGAAAACCCGTTTTTGAATCGCGAATCTGCCATCTACTACGAGTGGTCAGTTTTATTTACCTGCCACTGATGAGCCTTCTCACATAGGAACTAATGCTGTCTTCATTAAGTAGCAAAATAAGAAACCACTGTAAAATTATAACTTTGTTTTCCTGGAAATTATAAAACTTACGAATAAAATACAGTAGTTTTTATAATAATTTAAAATGTCATTTATCTTCAAACAATGGAACGAATAATTAATTTTCTTATCTACGTAACATTGTACTTTATTTAGATATAAAAAAAAAAACATTCCAAGTTGCCTGCGGTTACGTCTAACGTAGTAAAAACAACTTAGTAATGATTTTATTACTAAGTTTTATTAGTAAGTTTCAGTAAATTTTAGTAATGATACCCGCAAACCAGTTTTATTTTTATAAAACTTGTTTGCTTGCAAATCGTCAATTTGCTTTTCCTTCTTTTTTCTTATACTCAATTAAACTTCTCTCGTTAAATTTCGAGAAAGCAAAAATAAACAATTGAATGTTTTCATTTCTTCTTACATTTAATAATATTTGGCATTAACCAAAACATTTTTACAAATTCATTGAGAGGGAATATTAGCGAAAACACTTCTATATGGCTTACATAATTTCATTCGTTCTCAAAATTTGAAAGGTAGATATTCATAAAACTTTATACATTAATTTATGACCTAGGAAAAGTTTAAACACAATACCAGTTATAAGGAAATATTTATTAAATAAAATACCAAAACGTATTAATTACCGGCCGGTTTTCTTATCGAATAATGAAGACACGGCTTTTCCTCCTGCCGGGAATTGCTTTGGAAAATACAAGAATGTAGATCGTTTCTACGACAATGTCATATATGCAAAATTGGACGATAAATATACAGGAAAGAAAGGAGGAAAATTAGTATGAATTATGCAGAGCGTGTTATAGTTATGGACCTATAAACCGTCTTATTTAAAATAATTAACTGTAATTATCTTAATATGCTAGTGCTTACCTGCATTTTCGTGGCATCTATTTGTTATAGATCGTGCTTCTAATATCAATAGAAACGTTAACAAGGGATTTTCCGCCAACTTACATTTAAGTATCGACAATTGTACAGTCTCAAGGTTGCTCTTACTCAACCATTCGTACCGTTGATAATGAGTTCGGTCAAAGAATATCGAGTTTATGAAACGAGCTTCCGTCCAGTTACGACGTAGAATACACTTCTAGCTTAATAACACTATCGTAGCCTCCTGTTTTCGTTCATAATGGTTACCGATGTTCATAAGGTTTGATAAAAAGGAAACCTACCGAAAACAAGCGAGTCGTCTACTATACAATGATGGCAAGAACGACAAATCCAGGTTCAAGGTCAGTCACACCTTTTGTACCTCTACGCAATATCTACCCTCAAAAAATGGTTATTTGCCAGGACGGTGGCAGATTTTTGTGATTAAAAATAACAAACAGGCTAAACAAATATTATATCTGTTCTGATAGTTACGTATAGAATAATATACCGGTAAAACCGGAGATAATTGCAAAGATGTATCATTATTTTAAAATGTAAGATAGGATGGGGCGATATGGAACACCATAAGCACACATCTTCAGAAATTATTAATACGGAAAGTTCTGATAACCGTCAACAGGTGGAAGTAGTTTATTTTCGTTTAGATAAAAACTGGATTTACTCGCTATTACTTTCCCTGTTGTAACATAACAGAAGAAAGTATGTGTGTGTGTGTGTGTCTGTGTGTTGCTGTCTATTTTGTTTAATATCTGAGGATAGAAAAAAAGTTATAAAGAGAAATTTGGCACGGTAACTAGTTTATAAGGGGCGTTGTTGCTATTCAATTTTGGTGGTTAAAAGTCGAGGGGTGGGAGATAGAGGGGAGTCACGTGTCATATATGACGACCGAACAATCGAGTTGCATTTTTTTAATTCTATACATAACTAGGGAAATTATTTAATATCTCAGAATGGGGTTAAGATAAGAAACAATATATGGCACGGAAACTTTCTTATAAGGGACCGGCAAATATCTTATAAATCCCTAGGGGTGACATAAATTCAGTGTTAATAAGTCTAGGAATATAATTATTTCATGTTTCCGTGTTAATTATTATGGTAATTTAACTAAGATAGATAGGTGACATGATAAATGCAAAACGATGTTTACGATGTAGTTAGCCTGAGCGATCAGTTTGAGCAGTAATGTGTGACAAATGAAAAATTATAAGGGATTTATTGCTGAGAAAAAAAATACGATAAAAAGAATAGAAAAGAAAGGAAAGTGTAATAAAGAAATTAAATTAAACTAAACTAAAGTAAAAAGTAAGAAATAAAATCAGTTTGCATTCAAACGGGAAAATCTTGGATAAATTGGAGATCCTTTAGAGAAAGAGCGTTTGAGATTTCTCCAGTCTGGACTGAGGGAACTGTGTCTTTAGTCCTTATTTTATAATGTCGGTGAATCGCTTGACACAGTTAAGATATATTTGAAATAGTTACATAAAAGTTAAAAATTTGCATTGAGATGGCAGGAAGGAGTTCAGCGTAATTGCCGACACGTGGACGAAACGAAACGATAATTGATTTAAATCGGTACAGAATCCTGGCAAGTAGTTACAGCGGAGGCAATCGAAGAGCGATGTAACGTAGTGTCATGTAGTGGGGATGAGAAACATAAATCTGGTTCCTTACTCTTTTAACTCGGATAACTTTTCCATAGTTCAACCGAAATTCGCCAAACGCTGTAAAAATATGAAGCGATTGACTGACTTTATATTGCAAAAAATAGCACCCAAAAATGTCAAAATACTCTTTTGTTATTAAGCGTCAAAGAGTCAAAAGTCGACACTTTCGTTTATTGAATACTAGCTTACCCGTCGCGCATTGCTGCGATCTCAGAAGAAACGAAATTCAAGCAAACCCGTTATGATAAAATTCAATTTACATTTTATCATATTTATTGAAACTTATTATTATTATTCATTTTCATCGGGAAAACATTTCAAAGTGTCGTTTCAATTCTATTTATTTATTGGAGTG